AGTACCATTCATTTAAATGGAAACTACACAGGAGTGGATCTCAAGAACTTCTTTCCTCCCCCCCCCCCGCATCTGCTCGGTTCACAGGTATTATAACATTTTTAATAGCACCTAAATTCAAAATGTGCGATATTCAAATGTTTTGCTTACTTTCCAAATTATTTGGTGACACAGATTTCTGTTATGACATCTTGAGATCAATGATTTTTGTTTTAGACAATGCATTTACTAATAAACATTGGCTACTATTTTCACATTAGTGATGTTTATTACGCATGTCAAAGAAGGATCAGAGCTCAAACCAATTAAATTGCACATTTTGTGTGTGTACTTGTCACCTCAAGGACATAGGAAAAAAATAAAATCCAAGAACAAAGTATTTTGCACTTAATCTTTAAGGGAACATCTGATGATATTGTGACATATTAACATGGCTGCTTCTCTCATATTCTAATACTTTTAAAAATGAAGAATCTTCTAGTGTACCTTAAAAAATAGGTGGTCTTTCAATTTAGACTCATGCTGGCATTTATCTACTTACTGCAAAGTACCAGCATAAATGATCATTCTTCCAAAGACAAAACTACAGTGTAATTCTGTAACTGGTTATCTACCTCTAAGAGAATGACATTTACACAATAACATCTCTATGGTGCCATCTAGTGTACATTCAAGAAGACAACAGGTATGAATTTTCATGACTAAACAAGGTAAAAGTAAAACCCGAAATGCTGTTTTGTTTTTAATTAAAGATGTACAGAATTCTCAGGCTTTCTTTATAGAGAAAATCAGTTGTGAAACCTTAATTTGCATCTGTGACAATCTAACAATTTTTTAATTAAACATTCACTGAATACATTTTTATTTATTCATATAATGATTATGAATTTAAAATAATAAATATTGCATTTGTAAAGCTACGGTGAGAAAAAAAACATTATGCAATATGATGTACACTTTGTTTTACAAAGAACTGTCATGCTATTTGCTGCACGTTTGCATCAAAGTAAGTACTACTGTGTTCAATGAGATTTACTCCCATATAAATGGAGACAAGATTGCAGTGTTAAGAGTGTGCTCTTACATTCACCTATAGGCACATTCAACTAACTTCGGTGCACTACTAAACCACACTTTAACATTACAAAAACAAGCTGTGCGCCTCTGTTTCACGCACTCCCTGCTCTTCCTCTTTTGGCTTGGCCATGAACGTTTAGAAGCTTTCCCTCCCATTTTGCTTGCCAGATCTTCTGAGACAGACAAGCTATGGTTAATCTTTTGAACTCTGGTTAGTGGAAACAAACCAGCTTCTGGGTGAGTAGGGAGGTGGGTTTCCTTGAAAACATTCACAGAAATTATCAATACCTTGTTATTCACTATTAAAGAATGGTAGTCCCTTGGCTCTTTTTTCAGACATTCCCATTTCATGATCCCTAGCACATTCTGGAACACACTGGCAGGAATGTGGTGGAAAGTTGCCACTACAGTAGGGCCCAATAATCAGTGGAACTTATAAGAGTTTATTCAAAAAATCTCCACTGATAGAATGTGCCTACTCTGGTAGTAACTTTCAGCCAATGTATTCCTTTTAGATTAGTTCAAAGAATAAAACATACCTTCCAGCTTAGCATCTCTGGCAATTCTCTTAATAAGTACCATAGACAAATATGTTGTTGCTGCATTTTAACAGAGGTAGACTCTGCTAAGTTTGAACATTTGTTTCAGAAATTCTCCCACCCGAACCCAGATCTGCAGTATTTAATAGGGACTGTTTTTCCTACTTTTCCTTCAAGTAGAACCACCACTGAATAAACATAACCAAACCATCATCACAATCTGAAGACAAACAAAAGATACAAACACAAAGATTAAGATATATTACTCTAAGACATTCTCTATAGACATTTTCTATAGAACTGCAGACTTGGCCCACAGAATTGGAGGTGAGTAGTTGCTGAATATAATAAAACTTACTTCTTCATACAATGTAAAACTGAAAAGAAATGGATTCAATATTTAACCACACTTTGCTTAGGTACAAACTTATTATAGATTGCAGAATAACCAGGAGAGAGTGAAACCTCTCTAAGCTTTTAAAGAAAATTATCAAAATGTTTTGCAATAAAGTTTCAATTTTCCAAGAGCAGGTATTTGGAACAAAAACTCAGTCTTGTATCTGCTAACATCCTCTGGCACAAAGCAAGTACTCACACATAATAACAATGATCTGTAATGTTGTGAGAAAGATTTTTCAAAGTCACCTCTTCAAGAAATATTTTAGTTTTTTTGACAAATACATGCAGAACATTAATCCATTTAATAACACGTCTATTTGTTGCTTCTTTTACAAAAGAAGAAACTGTACCATTCTTACTGAATAAAAACCACTACTAGAACTATAATGAATAGATGTGACTTTTCCCTTAAAGTATAATGGGTAATAAATAAGAATGACGGACTATGTCCCCTGCTTAAATACAGATGCATTTGGAACATGCCTTAAGGATTAGGTTACCATCATATTATTCAGGAGTAAGGCACACTGGACCATACAATTCGTTTATGAGGCAATGGAGTGCCTCCAGCTTGCCTGCATACTAAATAAAAGTAAATCTTCAAGGCCACTTAAAAGTTTACCCCCACACACACACACACACACACTCATGGTGACTCTTCTCCTCCACACTAAAGATTCAGAATTCACAAACCAAGCTGGAACCATCTTTTTAAAAATGCTGCCATTGTGTGCACAGTCAGGCTTCTGACAACTACTTAGTTCTGTCCCTGCCTGTTCTTCATTTTATATTCTGAAATGGAGTTTTCTCAGCTACACATTCAGTATCAGTGGTACATAGGATCCCCAATGCCCAAATGAGCCGCTGCAAAAGTAGATCCCAATTTACTTCTGCAGCTTAACCTGCAAAGTAAATACTGTATTCCATTAACTGAAGTGATAGTCATTTCCACAATGCAGGCACTGAGGTTTCTGGATTGGATCACTAATGTGTGGTATTATTATGCCATACAAAAGCCCCATCAACACACATGACACATTATGAAGTACAAGAGAAAAGCTTCCTGTACTGAGGAGTTTCCAAGTGAAGGAAAAAAATGGGGGCAAAAGCTGGTAATTTTAAAATTCATATTAAATGGGGTGAAAATAATTGTTCTAATTTGTTTGCACTGTAATGAAAACGCCTATCGCTTGGATGTGGTAAAAGAGAAACCAAAATTAAAGATAGCTGGAGTAGTGAATGTGAGATATCAGTGTGTGAACCTTACTTTCTACTGATTTAGTTGTGAGGAAGGGCCGTATTTCGGCAATGTTATACAAGGAAAAGCATACAGTGGTGCCTCGACTTACGAACTTAATCCATTCTGGAAGATGGTTGTAACTTGAAATGGTCATAAGTCGAAGCACCATTTTCCATAGGAATGCATTGAAATGCAATTAATCCATTCCGGCTGAAGAAAAAAAACACCTCAAGACCCATCAGAAACCCAATTACTCCATTCCAGCCGAAGTGGGGGGGGGGGAGAAAAGCAAACAAACCGTGCAAGACCCTTTGGAAATGCAAAAAAAAAAAAAAAAGGAAAGCGGAAGGCAAGTAAACAGTGCAAGACCTATCAGAAATGCAAAAAGAACAAAGCAGAAAGCAAGCAAACCATGTAAGATCCATCGGAAATGCAAAAAAAGCAAAGCAGAAAGCAAGCAAACCCCACAAGACCCACTGGGGGGGATGACCCAAAAAGCAAACAACCCCCCCAAGACCCGTAGAAAATGGGGGGAATCCATAAAGCAAACTAACCCCACAAGACCTATCAGAAATGGGGGAAAAAACCCAAAAAAGCAACCCCCAAGACCCATCACAGCATAGAAACATAATCCCACCACCCAGCCCAAAATCATGCTGCAAAACCCACCCAGAATAGTTTTTAAAAAGCAGAAAGCAGCACCTTTCCTTACCAGGCAGTCCGAACCCTCTTCCGATTGCCTTCTAACCGTTGGGGCGAAAGAGCTACAAAGAAGCAGCCTCTTCACCTACTAACGGTTAGCAATTTGAATTCCCCGCCTTTTTTGGTTATAACTCAAAGCTCTGGCCGCAAGTCAAAGCAAAATTTTGCAGCCACAGCTGGTCATAACTCCAAATGGCCGTATGTCGGGACATTCGTATGTCGAGGCACCACTGTATTTGATGACAGACTGAGTTAGTCTGTCACCAAGTATGCTTCTCCTTGTACAGCAATAAAACCAGGACTTCATTCCTGTCCAAAAGGGAAAATAATAATGTTATCAATGGGTACAAAGAGTATACAAGGAGCTTGGGAGAAACAATTCAACTGTGGACACCAGAGATCTAGAACTATTAACAAATTGCACACATGTTTGTCATCAGATGACAAGGTAGCTGAGAAAGCAAACAGTATTTGATGCCACATGTTAGATGCCTGAGAGTTGCGGGGTTACAGCTAAGTTGAATTAAATCTCATTTACTATACCAAGGGTCCCCAACCCCCAGTCCGCAACCCAGCAGCAGTCCGTGGCCTAGGCAAGACCAGGCCACGGAGACAGATCTCCTGCCCTCCCGCGAGCACACCATGCACGAGCACACCACACACCCCTGCAGGCGCAGCACGACCCCACAAGTGTACCACACAGCCCCAAACCGGTCCACAGTTGGGAAAAGGTTGGGGACCACTGTACTATACAACAGAATCTACATCTTCAGCTTTTGCTAACAAAGAGAACAGTTTGAAGATCATATCCGTGCTTGAATTTTGCTTCCAAAAAAAGAACAGCTCCTCCTATATATGGCAGTGACCAGGTTTCAATATACAGGCTATACTTATGTCCCATGACACAACTGCAGCCGTGAAATCTACTGCTTTCTCAATTATGACAAGCAAATGATGGTGATCTTTCTGCATTTCAAAAAGAAAAGGCATAGACTAAAGACAATTATTTTGGAAAAACCCTTGTAACACCAGGACAATGCCAGTTCCATTATATTACATTTTTATTTTACAGGATTTGAAAAGCTCTTTTACAGATACTTTAAGTTGGAGAACTGCAATATTGACCAAAAAAAAGTTTACCTACAAACTGAATACACATTTCAATAACTACTGGAACCATTAATATTCAATGGGGTGTGTCATGTAGTGCAGAGGGTGTGCAGGAACACAAAATGCAAAGAGAGAGATGTTAAGAAGAAGTAAACATCATGTCCATGGCTACATGACAGAGGATTCCGCGAACACATTTGGTATTGTAACATTCTAGACAGCAATATGCTTAGTAATACATATTTAATACAATACATGCCTTAGAAAGCTTGTATTCTGTGCGTGTAAACTTCAACCAAATAAATCGGGTACATTAAAAAACAGGGGAAAATCTACTCTGAAAGAAAACTGTTTATCTCAAATAGACACTGACTTTAAGGTGAACTTTGACATATTGTTGGTATTTTACATTCCCCTTTCCCCTGCACACGGTTTTAATTAAAATGACAATTTCTAGATGCTACTTAATTGCTGCTGCTGCTGCTGCTGTGCAAGACACAGAAATAAGACTTCCCAAAGAGTAAAGCTTTGGCTTTACACATTTAAGCCACTGGCCTAGTCAACATCTCTATGGATTGCACCACAAAACAAAGCACAGTAGGATCAGGTTCAGAGTTACTTAGGAGTCTCTCGGCCATAATATTCCCAGGGTGCCAAGCAGCAGTACTAAAGCTGTTCTGAAAAAATCTCAGCCTAAATGTCAATTACATTGCTACACATGTTTTGCCTACTGGAACTGTACCTCTACTATCTTTTCAGGAAAGTAAGTGGAGACCACATAAAATGATCCAGGCACCTTTGAAGATTCATTTAGACTGCAGCACAACAAGGCAAAGCTTACAGTCCAGGAATAGGATGGTTTGTTGGTTGTCAAAATACTGCACTTTGAGAGACTGCTTCATCTTTTTCAGGAAACTCATCCCTCCTTGGACATCAGGCACTCCAGCCCTATTCTGGCTCCATACACTGAATTCACATTGTTCTAGATCCCAGAACTCTTGCAACAGGACATCAAGGTGGAATATAAAAGTACTCTATCAAAGGCAACAGGGATAGTGTATACATTTCCACCAAGAAATTGAAGTTTGACCTGTGAGGTGGTGAGATTGTGTCACATTCAGCATTCTACTCCCCACAATGTTAACTTCTTAGCTCTCATTATGAAGTGAAAACCATTCTTAAATAAGGCCATCACCACACATTTCAGACAAAATCGGCAACAAGGCATCACTGGAACAGACTGCAACTCTTGGCACCAGAGCTTCTAGACCAATCTAAATCACAATCAGTGGTTTCTCCTCATATTTAAAACATCACAGCCATCATTACAAGCATTTTCTTACAGCTGCTTATTTACTGGATGAGTACATACACACAATTTCTATTTAACCTCATATTAAAGATCAGAGTGAGAGCAGTTAATTGTTGATAATGGGGGGGCTCAACTGTACTAAGGGCTCAGTTCTAGTCGTAAGCATTCCTCTCGTAATACAACAAGTTGAATCCAAACACACTGGCTCTGAACAAAGCTCAGGAGGGACCAAAAAAGGATGAAGAAATCATAAGGAGTGACCCTCCAGAAGGAACGATAATAATCTGAATCTGAAATAAGGCAAACTGAAAAAGGCATTCCAATCTATGCAAAATTAAAACTAAGAATTTCCTTGCACATACGTCCTGAGATTTGTTCCGAGTGGGCTCTGTGTGTATGCAGTATGAGTCTTAACTTAAAGCTTTGCACACTCAAAAATATTTGATTGATCATGGACCCATATTAAAAAGGGAGGCAATAAAACATTTTAGAACAGGGATGGGGCAAGGGAATGAACAAACCTTGATTTGAGGCCTCCATCCAGCCTTCTGATTGGCCTCGAAGGCCAAACGTCCAATAAAATGTAAAACACAGCATATGTTTTGTGTAGTCTAAAAAATCTGTTGTGATAACTTATTGCAAATTGCACTTTGTAGTTCCACCACACCAATGGAAAACTGCCCCCCTCCCCCGTTGGTTCACGCAGTCCTTTAGCCTTGACCCTAGGTCACCAATAAAAGGACCTAGACAGAAAGTTTGCGGCTGTGCTCAGCCAACTGGCTGCACCTTCTGGATGTGAGCCAACACGGGATACTGCTTTGTCCTGTTCCTTTGAAGGGCTTTCGTCTTCTGGCAAATACTCAGGAAGATCAGTATTCTGTTCCACCTCTACAGGAGTATCTTGGAACGGAACCAGCATCTATTAAAGTAAAAAACATACCCTGAGGAAGTTCATAAATTCATTTTATAAAATCTGACCTTTCCGCCAATCTGAACACCACCCACTGACATAGAACACTGTATTACGTATCTTCCAAAGATAGCGAGAATTATTTCAGTCCTAAAAGTCCAGATTATTTATTGTAGCATGTGGAATAAAAACAACTTTATAAGAAGCAATATTCTTGGCATCTTTTTTGGGTGAGGATTAGAGAAACGTATCACTGAGATCTATGTAATTGATCAAAAAGCTTCTACCAAGTTTCATTTTAATATAAATGGAACAATTCTGAAAACTGCATACTCTCTTAACGTCAGAATGTTAAAAAAAACCATTATTAGACTCCATTATGGCTTGTATCTCTTGTTATCTGGATCCACAATTCTGTAATCTTAAACCTATGACCTACTTCTAACTTCTACCTGGCTTTCCATGCATGGTATGGAAAGAATCCCACACATCTATTCTCTTCCTTAAAGAAGGGAACTGTGGCAAAAGTACAAGCACAGAATTTAATGTTTGCAGGAACTGGTTTACTGTTGCACCCAATGTTTGTTGCATGGAATGATCTTACATTCTGGTTGGTTTCTCTCTCACCTCTTCACCGCTTTCACTTTTCACAACTTGCTGGGCTTTCATAACTTTGGTTGATGCTATTGCTGTTGCCAGTGCCTACAAGAAAAGGAAGAAGTGAAGATTTAAGAACAAGTTAATAAGATTCCACCTGACACTGGAGATGCTACAGAAGACGGTTACCTCTGCTTTCAAATCTGATCTGATTCGGACCACACATCTTTGCACTGCCATCTGAAACGTAAAGCTGATGACCCCTTTAATTTTCAGCAGTGCCTCTTCACACAGGTTTCTCCGAGACTAAAAAAAATTAAAAGACACGGTTTATGAGCAAACACAAAATAAATAATTGTGGAATTTAAAGCATGAACATATGTGCCAGATGAAATTAGCCATGGAGAGAATTTAAAAGTAAACTTTCTGCTTATATTTTGAAGGGAAACTAGGATGGAATCAACTGTGAATAATGAGGAGAAAGTGCTGAAAAGCAAAGAAAGCTTTTCTCCGTATGATCAGCTAAACAGTCCCCTGTGGTTAAGTTCTGACTGACTGAAATGCTCATTGATGAGCAGTTAGTGTTTAAGTTGCTATTTATCAGACACCTTGTATCCATACTGACTGAATGCATCAAAGCAGCTGTTGTATCCTTCAGCTACCTCATCTGTGGCAGCTCATGGACATCACTGCACTGCACTAACTGAACTCTGATTTCAAAGGAAAATGTCTGCTCAGAGACACACAAGCAAATGTTATGTTTAAAGCAAGTGACAGTCCCTACTGTGCAACAACACTACATTGACCTGTGCTAGTTGCACCTGCTCTACATTATCCCAGCATGTTCTAATGTGTTTTGGTGTTGCAAGACAATATAGCAATAAGGTGCCTCTGGAAGACTAGCACAAATATTTATTTGTTTGATTTCTATCCTGCCTCTCTGCCAGCACTCACACTTAATGAGTCTCACTACAAGATGACTTTAAAAGTGCAGATAAAAACACCAAGTTATACTGTTAAAATTCAGTAAAACAAAACTCAGTAATATTAAAACATCTGAATTAAAAGCAGTTTAAAGGCACATCAATAAGGGAAGTACACGGCCCATTCTTTAAAAGCCCCTTCCACAGCAAAGAGTGAATTGCCAAAAGGCTATCTCAATAAAAAGACAACCTTACATCCCTAAATAGAGTGCTCTAGAGTCTGCAAGCTGAAAGGCCTCCCTCGGGTCCTCACCAAATGGGCCTCTGAAGACGATAGGATGAAGAGAAGAGCCTCCCCTATAAGCCCAAGCAGGCTTGCACAGGGAATGCAGTCCCTCAGATAGTGTGGACACAAGTGTACTACTAATACACTCTAATTCTGGCCAAGCTTTCACAAATGTGCCTAGTATCAGCAAACTCAGACAAGTCTAATATGCCTCCTCAACTAGAATGGTGCTTGTACAAGCAATACATTCTATCAGGTCTGAAACCCAAGTGCTCTTTGAGAATCTTAGGTCATGTAGACGTCCTTCTCAACCTGCTTTGAGTTCTCTTTGAAAGATACACAATATTTATATTAATGGCCAAGACAGCATGCTGGCTCAGATATAACAGAAACAGCAGTTATTTGTTACTTGAATGAGCCTGCATGAGCCTTAGGCTAACACATATACTTTCCCCTTTTCATATGTAGCCATGAGATCAGATGCTTTTGAGTTCATTTGAATTGAAGGACAATTTTCTGTGATATCTGAACACTGGAATAACAAAAGATAATCAGCTTCTGCTTGTTGGGAGACTAATTTAATCAAATGTCAGTTTCCCAGCTTCAGCAATCACAAAGAACTATGATTTGTTCAGAGGCAGATGTGAAAGCTTCCTTTCTCCTCCTCATGAATGCATGGAGAAGAAGATCGGTCACTAACCTGAGGTTTGTTCACATAACAGGAAAGCAGACATATCTGAATCAAGCCAGCATTTGCATGTTAACAGATATTATTCTATATATATTTCCATTATAGTTTTTCCTCTATCATCCTGACCCTTTAGTAAATCCTTTAAAATGAAAACTACTCTGACAGACTATTTACACTAGACTACGAAAGTTTCATTTAATATTATGCATACAGTCCTTCTATTAAAAATAACAAAGTTGCCTATGGGAGGTAGAGGGAGAGACAATATGACAAAAGAAAACAATATATTCATTAACACAAACACAATATTCTAACATCAAGGAGATGAAGTGCTAATAAAACTTCAGAAGATACATCGCAAAAACAGCAGGATGAATTTAAAGGATATACTGCTCATCTGATTACATTTCATGATTTCACCAGGATCCATCTCTTTCACCGATTCACCTGATATCACATACAGACAGGACAGAGGACAAGGCTAGTCTCAAAGGCCAGCCTTATTCATATGGCAGCAGGCAGTTTCCTATTCAGCCTGGTCCTAAGCAATGTAGTTTTTTGGGCCAATATCAGAAACAAATGGAGCAACCAATGTAAATAGAATAGGTTCAGAAACATGAGCTCTAATCTTCAAGCACCTGATTAGCAAGGAGCAGTACTGTCCCTAAATTTCAGTAAATTTAAAAGGTAGGCCCATTAAGAACTGTTTACAATAATCAAGCCTGGAAGTTGTTATGGGAAGGATAAACAATATTAGGACCACAGGTTGTCCCAAACATTCAGAAAAGCTGCACGGAAAATAAACTCTATTCTAGTACATGTGTGATTGCAACATATGCGCAACATATCAGGATTTTACTCTACAAGTAAGGTATATACATATAAGTATGCACTGGGAAGTGGTATTCATGTGAAAGAACTGTACAGCTTTACTAAAGTGAAGAATAGTTTATTGTTGAGACAAACAAGAACAGTGATAAAATGCTTGTGTTCACTGAAGTATAACAGTTTTTAAAAAGAAATAATTGTTATTTCAAATGAGGTGCCATTGACTATTATTCCTATGAAATACAAAGTATAGCTGTAGTAATAGTCGTAGTATTTGATCAGAATGTGTATTAGTTTAGTCTTTTGATTTTTACCTACTTGGGATCTAAAGGGGGAATAGCAGAAAATAACATAAATGTGACTATCCTAATATTAAAAAAATACTGTCAAAGTTTAAGATGCTAACATTTCATAGAAGAATGCAGATGGCCATGTCAGAAACATGCCTTAAGTGCTGTTTATAGTTCAAGACAACATCAGTTCTTTGAAATCAAAGGAATTTACAGAGAGTGACCATAAACCTATTAGTTACTTTGACATAAGTGCAATGATGTGAACTGCAGCAATGAACTGCTGCCAGTTAACAAGTCACAACTTGTATCTCTTGTTGCATATCAGTCAGGTGAGTTGCTACACAATGGGAGTGACAAGTGAAAACTTGTTAACTAGCAGCCATTTGCTGCTGTGGTTTATGGCACTGTCCTTAGCATAACTAACCAATAGGTTTCTGGCCTGTGTTTTTCATTTATTTCGCAAACTGAGGTGACATGCTATCAAAATCTGCACAAAATAAATAGAGATTTCTTCTTCTCCTGATGGTGTTCAGGGCAAAACCATCAGAATCTTCTACAAGTAATTTCTATATAACACTATAACAAAGGATGCCGGTGTGCCACGTCACTGAAAGAAGCCCTCTAAATTAAGCTTGTCTGCACTTCTTACTCTACGTTAGCTACTAGAAATGAACATCCTTACCTCAACATGAAGGAGTAAAACTGCAAGGATCTGCATTAGCTCAGTTCTTGAGAGAACAGCCTTACGATGTGCTGACCTCAGAACATTTTATAGCTTTAATGTGTATTTAAACTGGCAGGCAAAAGATAAACAGGCAGCATTTTCCTGGCTTTCAGAAAAGCTTTAGAGACAGTGATAGACAAAACAAATGACCTACCAAGTCAGTAACCATAATAGGTCCAGAACTATTGGAACTTATTAGACCTGGCTTGAGGAATGTGTGGGAGAGGGAGAAAGAAAGACAGAGCAGAGGGGTTAGGGAACTCTGGAAAAGAAAGGCTGTGCATATGCTCATTATTCATTAGGCTAAAACCACTGACTTTATTAGAGTAGATGGGATGCCTGCAAACCTGGTTCTTCAACAGGCTTACTTGGCAAAAATGTACGCTAATGTAGCAGAAGATCAGTTCTGATCATTTTAAATGGCTACAAAATTGAAGCAGAGGGACCTAAGGGCACATGTGGCTAACATGCTCAAACAGTCTTACATGTTACTTGGCAGCCATAAAAAAGCCAAACATGGCCCTAGGGTGTTATCTGCAGGGGAATAAAGGTTACATTTATAGAAGTTATTCTGACATTGCATAAAGTCTCCACTGAGATCTCATTATCACAACCGCTGCCCAACAGCAAAACAACAACAACAATAACCCTCAGACAGTTAAAAAAAAATGTCAGGAAAAGTCAACTAAAAACATCCTAAGGTCTGAACTTGTAAAAGGATTACGTATTCTGCATGTTCCGCAATTCCAAATGAAAAACAATAAGAACAATTACTGTACACTTTGAGGACTCAGTGTGAGAGAGATGTGCTTAAGTTGGAACCAACTAGTAGCAACCCTAATTGGGCTTTCTGATTAACTGAGATATATGGTTTTACCAGTTTCATCATCCCCTCAACCAATAAGATTTAAATTCAGGTCTCCTGAACCTTGGTCCATCACTATCCACCACACCTCACTGGATATCAGTAGTTTGGTAGTGTGGCAATCACCCTGCTTTGGCTCATGTAGTAGGTTATTTGTATATACCAATGAGAGTTGCTGCGAGGCGGAGCCAGAGAAACCAGAAGGGAGGGGTGGGTGAGAGAAGAGCAGTGCAGAGTTAGTCAGAGGAGGACAGATAGAAAAAAATTGTGAGAGAGTCTGACATGAGAAGTCAGTTAATTAGAGATGAGAGCCTGAAGTAGAAGTTTGTGAGAGTTGGAGAGAGTGGCAGAGTTAAGAGTTCAAGAGAGTCTGACATGAAAAGTCAGTTAATTAGAGTCAGATATGAGAGTCTGAAGTAGAAGTTTGTGAGTTGGAGAGAGTGGCAGAGTTAAGAGTTAAGGAGAGTTAAGAGTGAAACTATTATTAAAGTTCTGAATACTTTTAAGTCTTTGAAGAACCCGTTTATGTGATCTGTAACCAATAAGCCTGTTTTGTGCAATGTTACTCACAGCTTGGACCTCAATCTTTCTAATTAAAGGCTTGACAGACGTCAGTTGGTGGCAGTGTAAAGGAGGGAACACGTTGTGGGCCTCAGGCTAGTGAAATAACTTGTGGACACGCACAGGTGTGTCACAGGTAGATATACCAATTTCAAAATAGATTATCACTCTCTACCACACCAAGAAACAAATGTTTCTGAAAGGAACATGTTTATCTCAACATGAAATACATCTGGAGTAATGTTACACAGTCAAACAAACAGGCTTAACTTTGGAAGTCAGTTTCCTACAGCCTAGGTTTTTAACCTACGGTCTGAGGACCCCCGGGGGGTACGATATCCTCATGGGGGTCTGCAAAGGCTTAAATAAATGATATATTTTACAGTTTAAAAGACAGAAAGAGAGACAGAAAGAGAGAAAGAGAGAAAGAAAAACAGAAAGAAAAAGAAAGAAAGAATGAACGAATGAACGAACGAACGAACAAAAGAACAAAATCTTAATTTTCCTTGCTTGTTTGTGTAAAACTTGGCTTTTCTAACCTACTCTGTTTATTAAGAATAAACAAATGTTAAAATCAGTTATGAAAATAACTGTTTGATAGTACATAATTCTTTCATATTTGTGAACAAGCTGAGAACATGCAAGTCACTACACCCGTGTATAAGTTGTACTCCAAAACATACTCGTGAGTTTCTTACCGAATCATCAAGGCCATCTATGTGTAAAACCACTGTTTTAGCACGTTTATTTGTACTTCCCAGGAAAAACTGAGCTTTCCGACGCCGAGAATTCATTTCATTTACATTGTCCACGTCAGACATACTGGAAGACTGAAGAATATCGTAGATTTCAGAAGCTAATAGTTTCGTCTCTCCTGGTGTCGTAGCCCTAAAGCAAAGGAAACTGAGATGTATATGGATTTCTATTGCTCATTACAACTATTTTTCAAAATAAGGACTATTCCTTCCTTCCTTCCTTCCTTCCATCCATCCATCCATCCATCCATCCATCCATCCATCCAAGTACAAATAGGAAAAAGAGGCTTCCTATTATTCTCCCCCCACACACTTATTAACCACCACTCACAAAACTGTCAGAAATTTTCCACATATGTTAACATCAAATTCAAATATGCTGTACCTTTTAAAAATAGCACATTGAGCTACCTTTTACTTTTATTCCAGCAAACTGTCACTGAAGAACATATTGTACAAGAAACTGTTATATCATTATTTCCTTCATAGCTTTTCAATGTGCACAGACTACAGCATTTTTAACATTTCAGAACTTAGACAACGTCCCACTGCGGGGTCTGATGACTGCTTCATGAAATTGCTTGGCTTACCCTCACCACCTATCTGCCAGCCCATGTAAGTCTCATTTTCATTCTTAAATTGTGCATCAAATGTCAGCACATGATTTTCTTTGAGTACCTACAACTGCCATGAGCTATATCCTTAAAAATGACAAGCATAGTGCAACAGGGATTTTTAAAATGAACAATTACCAAAATATTTAGGCAGCAGGAACTCCTATGTCAGCATGAACCTCAGGCTGTTTGCCTTAAACTCTTGGCCCTGCAACTACCTACTTTTAGCCTTAGGGTTTTCTCCCATTCTGCTTTCTTGCTACTTCCTGCACCTGCTGTTTCTTGCTAATATCTCTTTATAAAACTCTACACATTATTATCTATTAGTAAAGCAACAGAATCCTAAGCTGAATGAAGCCCTGAAGTTATATATTTTAGTAAGAATCCCTCAATCAGAATCCTAGTGAGCTCTGGCACAGAGGAACCAGGCTAGCAATGCTGGATTCCCACGCTTACTGCTGCACAAGCATAAATCACTACTTCAACAGCCTGAATTCTTCTTGCAAATAACAACAGTCAATCAAAAAGTCAGTGTTTGGTTTTAACATCATTTTTTTAAAAATACAAATTCTGCAGGAAGGGCTCCAAAGGCCTTACGAACAGGGAGCACATGTAGCCAAAGAGACAATACATATCTGTTAATATACACTGACAAGATTTAGCAATATTAACTCTAATTGCATTCTAATCTTAAATACAGTGTCTTGCAACTGAAAGGCACTTAAGGATTACAAATCAGGCAATAACTATGAAAACACCCAACTAGAGAATCACATATTCCCAGGGTATTTGGCAGCTGGTTAAAAAAAAATACGCCATCCACAAGTGTGCCATGATATAAAGACATTAACTTCTCTCAGATAACTTAAATACATAAAGTTTCAGAAGTCTTTCATTAAGGTCTTCATGTTATATAATTTAAACACCATGTGATAGACATATTATTTATCATTGTGAAATAACTCAATTTTTTTCAATTTTTCCAGAAAAAAACAAAAACAGCTTTTAAAAATCATAGAAAAAAACCTTTTCCCAATTTTTCCAGTTTTTTCCCCTAGGCCTTCCTATCTCTAGACATGATTACATTTAGGCCAAGAAATCTACCCACTGGAACAGCTTTTCACCTCTGCACAAGGATATCTATCCGTTGTCGCTTCTATTTAAGATGCCCACATACCCTTGATAGAATGTACTTCTTTCCTTTGTCAGCTTTAGTCTAACGTTGTTATAAAAATTCTTCAGTGAACATTCTCCAGTGTTCTTGTCATTCCCACTGTTCCAGATGCCCTTAAGGCCACCTTGAAGAAATAACCTTTGTCATGGAAATCAGGGCATTTTTCCTGTTAGTTTGTCTCCAGAACATCCAGTTCTGGCTGCCTAAATCCCCACTTTTGCCCAGGACTTGCAACACAGCTTTTAAAAAGACTATTTCCCCCATAGTGGCTCCAGAGGCTTTACTGAAGTACTGTGCCAGTTTCAGAATGATCCAGTAGGATTTCAAGAAAAAAAAATTCCAAACACCATTACGTCTTCTAGAGGCAATTTTTTTCTAAACATGATTGCCCCCTCCTCTGCACCTGCTTTCATACTGTGTGCTTCTGAGAACAGTGGTTCACAACCTTGGGTCCCCGTATGTTCTTTGACTAAAACTCCCAGAAGTCTTCATCACTAACTGTGCTGGCCAGGATTTCTGGGAGTTATAATCCAAGAACATGAGACCCAAGGTTGGAAACCACTGCTCTATAGGGAGCATTATCTGCAACTCTGGGAATTTACCACCAATTCCCTGAAAAGGCAACAATAAGTAGTAGAGGCTTAGAAATCTGTGTACAGTGGTGCCCCACATAGCGACGATAATCCGTGCAGCTAAAATCATTGCTATGCGGATTCGTTGCTATGCGAAATTAAAAAGCCCATAGGAATGCATTGAACCCCCTTCAATGCATTCCTATGGGCTTAAAACTTACCTTTTAAGCGAAAATCCTCCATACGGCGGCCATTTTAGCTGCCCGGTAAGTGAGGAATCCGTCCCTGTTTTACCCGGTGGCCATTTTGGAACCGCCGATCAGCTGGGGAAAATCATTGCTATGCGAAAATCGGTAAGCGAAACAGCTTACCGATCATCGCAAAGTGATTTTCCCCCATAGGAAACATCATGCGATCGCAAAAGCGATCACAAAAACATCATCGCTATGCGGATTCGTCATTAAACGGGGTGCCCGTTATGCAAGGCACCACTGTACACAGAATTTAGTTGAGCCAATCCTCCTTCTCCTCTGCTGTGAGTACCCAGAACAACGACTAGCTGTTGCCCTGAACCTCTGCCTAAAACAAACTGCTGTAAGTTCCATTTGCTTTTCCCAGTTTCACAATTCTGTTCTCTCTGTACCAATATCTTGAGATCCATAATCTGTTTGGCTGCAAGTCTCAGGAATTCACCATTAGCTGCATTTCTAGCCTCTATTAGCTCTACCAAATTGTGACTCAGGTCTCTTAGCCAAGCTAAGCCCAACTGTGCGCTCACAACACCAATTTCCAAAACTCACAGGCCTGGCTGTACAGAGTTATATTTTATGCAGTAGATTTTCTGCTCTCTCTGTTCAGCATATATAGGCTTATTAGCTGGACACAAATTACTTTGTTCCATAACAGTTTGTAACAGAATGTCTCTTGCAAACAAGTTTCCCTAAACAGTGACTGTTCTATACAGCGGTGCCTCAACTTATGAATGTCCCGACTTACGAACATTTCGCGTTATGACCAGCCCTGGCCACACAATTTTGCTTCAACTTGCGGCTGGAGCTTCCAGTTATGTACAGAAAAAGGCAGGGGGAAAAGGCGGAGAATTCAAATTGCTAACTATTGGTAGGCGAAGAGGCTGCTTCTTTGTAGCTCTTTCACCCCAGCAGTTAGAGAGTGTGATCGGAGGAGGCTTTGGACTTCCTGGTAAGGTGCTGCTTTCTGCTTTTTAAAAACTGTTCTGGGTTGGTTTTGCAGTGTCGTTCTGGGATGAGTCGTGGGATTATGTTTCTATGCTGTGATGGGTCTTGGGGGGGTTGTTTGTTTTTTGGTTTCTTTCCCCATTTCCGATGGGTCTTGTGGGGTTTGTTTGCTCTTTGGGTCCCCACCACCACAATTTCCGATGGGTCTTTGGGGGTTTATTTGCTTTTTGTTTTTTCCCCCCATTTCCGATGGGTCTTGGGTTTGTTTGCTTTTTGGTTCCCTCCCCCCCCCAATTTCTGACGGGTCTTGCACGGTTGCTTGCTTTTTGCTTTGATTTTTTTGCATTTCCAATGGGTCTTGCACGGTTTGTTCGCTTTCGTGTTTCTGATGGGTCTTGCAGTGTTTTGTTTTGGATTTTCCCCAGGTTCTATCAATATACAGTGGTGCCTCGCTTAACGATTGCCTTGTTTAGCGATGAATTCGCATAACGATGTGTTTTTTAGAAAATAATATGCATCGCATAACGATGTTTCCTATGGGCGATTTTCACTTAGCGAAGTTTGGGACCATGCTTCGCATAACGAATGCGATTTTAGGTCCCCTGCTTCACTTAACGATGTTTCTTTGAAGGGTCTTAGAAGGGTCAAAACCGGTTCTAAATGCTTGGATTTGTTAGAGGACCCCTTAAGTCATGTGCAAACCTGATTTGGCTTTGATCTGACGTTTCGTTAATTTTTTGTGAATTTTTGTTTTTTGGCCCATAGGAACCAATGGACCTGTCAAAATCTGACAGCTCCATGCTTTCCTATGGGGGAGAAAACAATTTACAAAAAATTAACGAAAGTTCAGATCAAAGCCAAATCAGGTTTGCACACGACTTAGGGGGTCCTCTAACGAACCCAAGAATTTAGAACAGTTGCTGAGTCTTCATTAATTTTTTGTGAATTTTTTCTTCCCCCATAGGAAATAATGGAGCTGTCAGATTTTGACAGCTGTCAAAAGTTGGGGGGAAAAAATTCACCATAAATTAATGAAAAGTCAGATCAAAGCCAAATTAACTTTTGCATCCGTTTTAGAGGGTGCAGAAGCTAATCCAAGCATTTAAAACCATTTTTGACCCTTTTATGACACACTTAATTTTGCAAAAATTGACTTTTCAAAGCCATTGAAATGTATTGAATCAGCTTCAATACATTCCAATGGAGGATACATTGTTTCGCTTAGCGATGTTTCCTATGGGTTTTTTCGCTTAACAACGGCAATTCTTTCCAACTGGAACGGATTAACCGGTTTCCAATGCATTCCTATGGGAAATGGTGTTTCGCATAGCGATGGTTTCACATAGCGATGTGTTTTTTTTGAACCAATTAACATCGCTATGCGAGGCACCACTGTATACTTCTTGAAAATCAATGATTTACTCTATCACGGTGGACAACTATGTCCCTATGATGATTCTGGCTGACACCTCCCAGAAACACAGGGTCAGTATAGCCAATGATGAGAGAAGATGGTATTTGCAGTTAGAAAGATGCAAAGGACACGCTTGCCCACCATTAATACAGCAGAACCTGTAGCTGTAGTTAATTATTTTGGTCTTTACCAATTAGATTCACTAGATGGCATCATTGGCTATTTTTCATAATATATTTCACAATTCAAAGATGTATTCCCAATCTATATCAAATATTATATAGTAAACATTACAATTTTCTCAATTTTGAAACTATATTTAAAGGTACATTTTGGTACCCTTCTGGACTCTTTTTAAAGAAAGGCAAACCTATGCTGAGCATTTAGACATATAAAGAACTACAGTATCAAGAATTGAGTTTTCCCCCCTAATTGTGAAGAACTGTGCTGGATCAGGCTGGAGTTAATCTCTTTTAACGTTCTTTTCACACACAATCCAACTAAATGTTTACAGAAACCTAGTCAGAAGGACATAAGTACAACTGCAATGTCTCTTTTATGTTCTGAGGGCTATGGACTAGGAAAAAGCTAGACATAAGCACGAACCTTCTGTGACCTGAATTGTGGTTGTGTATACTATGAAGGATGTTTTTGGTTTTATTAGATACCCTAAGTTAGCTATATGGACCCAGTGAGGTCAGAATGCATTCATCGGGACAGTATAGGAGACAAAAGACAAAGTCATACGCCTTCTCATTGAAACTCATGAGGATTTGTTTGGAAATATGTTATGTGCATTATCCTGAACTGGAAAGAGTTTCCAGTTAAAATGAGAAATCATTGCTAAGTCATGCAGCTACAAAATGATAAGAGTGTGGACAATCAATTATTTTACAATGTTTTGTTATTAATACAGTTAGAATGGGGAGTACTTTAATGAACTACTGTTGATAGTAGGTTCAGTCTGGCTAGAAATAAGGGATTGCACTCCTTGTACAAGTAGTGATCTCCATGAAGAAAAACTGCCATTCACTTGCAAAAATGCAAAAAATTGTGTAAGCAGCATGATCCCACATTACTACTCTGGAGGAATTTTTAATTCAACTGAAGTTCAACAGGATATCTTATTGTTTCCTTTATTATTTTGGTAATCTGAACACCATGTTGTATTCTTATAATAGCTTTGTACACTTTTCATAAGCCATTGAAATTTAAATTCCTGATATAAATGGTCTTCCTTTAATTTGTTTTACTTAAGTTTATTTTTCTATTTCTGCCCAGTAGAATGATGCCTTCTTACCATTCTTTTTACTATTCTCACTAAGAATACAATTTATTTCCCCACTGTTTCTATGAAAGATTTTCTGTTATTTCTATAAATTTTAAACCAAGTTTGTGGGGGTGGGGTCGTTCTAAGCTAATGATCACCGTACTCATGATAGTTATGGAAAAACAAAAGAGAAGGAATATGCTAATGTATCTTAAGTCAACTAAAACAAATGTTTTGCTCCTTGCCTTTTCACATGCATACTCATTTTCTTCCACCAGAAACTGTGAAAAATACTATGTCAAACAAAACTGAAACAACTGCTTAGTCTCCTGCCAGTAGCAAACAGATATCACTCCATAAAATGAAGAACCATTGTGTATATAGAATATATGTGTACTGTATATTTCTCAATACCTAGAATCGAAGTCCATAGCTTGTGGGCTGTATGGGGACTTTCACCATCCTTTAGATATCCTGCATGCATCCTGAGAGCCCTGCCAGCTCTTCCCTACTCACAATTGATTAGTGATCTGCTAAATGGCAGCCAAAGGACATTTCTGCCCATGCTACTGTTAGGAATGGAGGAATAGTGAGCTCAGGGAAGGATTTCACTCTGTTTTCAGCACTGTCAAGGCAGCAGAGATCAATATGTCCCCACCTGTGCACACGGAGTGGGGACAGGACGACGACAGCGCTGGCCATGCACACTCCTGTCGACTATGCCCAATGGCAAGATGGTTACTCAACCTTCACCTAGAACCTTAACAGTAATGCATTTAGTATATCTGACTAGACTATTTGACTGTAAGAAGTAACTCCACAGTGCTAGAATCATAGGCAAATGATCAGCAACATCTCATATTTCTTTCCATGTCTGTGTAATTTATGTCTCAAATGTTTTTTGTCTACCTGCACTTTCTCCTTCAGGACTGTACTTCTAGTCCTACTGTTTTGCTAATATGGTATCTAGAGTATTCCGAAACCAATTTCTCTCACAATTTCCGATTCCTACCCAATTTTTAAGAGTACAATGAAAATTAATTTCAAAAGCAAGTACACAGATTTCTGACTCCCCCTCCTGCCATTTTTAACAGCAAAACAGATGCATTAAATTTACTTAAATCATGTGTGATGTGAAAACCATATTGCAAGGTAAGTTTTTTTGGTTGAGGGAACTAAATACTTCCTAGATTTTCCCCATATTTTGCTGCCACCTGAAAGAAAGTCTGCTCCAAAAAGCCTGTGTTTCAGAATCCAGTCTTTGGATGCCCAGACTGTAGCAGAGATTTCTAGTATCCACCTGTGATCTTCTGCTTCACCATTGTCTTGTTTCAGGAACAGCAGCTGGGTTAGAGGGTACTACAGAAGGATTTCACTTCTGTGCCAGCAAGGTACTCTGAGTCCAAGTGGCTACCAGACATGAAAACAGCACTGCCTTCCTCATTTGTAGTAACTTTTTAAAAATCACTGTCTATTTAAAACTGTCCTAGTAATGCAATTTTAATTATGGGTGAGAATTACAAGCAATTAAAGCAGTATAAAATTAAAGCTGTTAAGGATGTTTACTTCTTTAGAAGCATGTGTGCCTTTACCATACCTGCATGGAATTCCCATGTAATTATATATTTATTAATTGAGCCAATCCTCTTAGGCAAGTGATAATTTGGTAAAGGCAGACTATCTTGAAACAGGGGCTTTTGGCTAAGTAATTGGAATTTGGCTTCCATTAGTTTGCCACTCAGTATCAAGAGATATAGATATTATCCATTCATCAGTGGAGTTTCAATTATACATGCAAAGAGGTGCCTCACAATGCTACTTTGTAATAAAAGGAACAATACATTTTCACCTTAGTTACCCTTGAATCATTCTCTCTATGCAAGTAAGCAGTGTAACTACTTACTTGCAGACTATAAGCTAAGTACTTCACAGTACCAACACAGCATCAACATGGCTACTTACTAGGAAATATTTAGGCTACTATCCTATGCACACTTACCTCAGAGTAAAGCCCACTAAATACAGCTTACATCCAAGTAAACAGCACATTATCATGCTGTTAGAATTTTCATGGTGCCTCATGCAAAGTTCTGACATGTTACATCACTGTGTTCTTTTGCTGCCACTGCAGGTCCACGGTGCTTATGTGTAAACCTCAACAGGACTTCAACTGCAATCAGGACCGTGAGTCGCCAAAACAAGAAAATGAAATTCCTTTGAAGATTGCAGGATTGCAATTGGCCACTTACCTAATTTTCTCTAAGAGATTGATTTCACTGGACCACGAGAAACTTTCTCATCAAATCATTTACTTAAAGCTGCAGGATTGCAATTGGCCACTTACCTAAGAGATTGATTTCACTGGACCATGAAAAACTTTCTCATCAAATCATTTACTTAAAGTACTCTCTTTAATCTCTGCTGTACCTCTGAAATGTACTAACAAAATATTAATAAACTTGATTTGTAACTTTGTAACTATCACTTGCCTTTATCTTTATTTCTTACTGGAGTTTACTACCAACTACATGGAACCAGTACTGCTCTTCCCTTGAAAATCAACACTCCAACTTTAACATTCATGGGCATACCTAACACCACAAGATGAGGAAGCCACCCATCATAATATAATATAAATTCACTCACAGGCAATTGTTTTCAAATCTACTTTAAAACAAAAACATGAATTATATACTGCTATTACAGACACCACACTGTACCTACTTTTGTATAACAGTCTGTAAGCTCAGCATCATACCAAGCTCACTCTTCATCTTCTCTCTATTGGCACGACATTCTGCCAAATAGCGGAGAGCCTGTAAGAAGGGACAGATCACTGTAATTACATTTTCTTCTATTATTCCATTTGTTTTTGCAGCACATCTCTCATATACTATGTAATGACACTGTTATAAGTTTGGAACATAGAAAATTGTTAGAACATATAGTTTTAGCTAAGATGCAATTCAAAAATAACTGACATGCACTTATTGGGAAAAATATAATAAACAATATTGGCTCTATATATGGAATCATTTCAAACAATGGACTCCCTTGCATGACTTTCTATCATCAAGTATCTCAGACTGTAGACTGAAGTTAATGCATCTCCAGATCACAGTCCATAAGTCCTGTTATGACTTCAGAACCCTATACTCAAATCTTACCTTAATCATAAGCTCAGTAAGAAACCTATAATCTTATACGGAGTAATCACAGAAGAAGAGGAAGAATAAGAATGTGCAATCAGGTCAATTCTGACTTATGGCAACCCTTTTGAAGATTTTCAAGGTACAGAATTCTCAGAAGTGGTTTAGCGTTCCCTTCTTCTGAGGTCTCCCTGCTACTCTGCAGCTTGCCCAAGACCACACAGACTGGCTCTTTTCCCAGGAGGCACACTAGGAAACTGAACTCCCAACCTCTGGCTCTGCAAATAGATACCTAAACCATAGAGCTATCCAGCCAGCCAACATAGAAATAAATCTACTGAATGTATTTGCGAAGGCTTTCACGGCCAGGATCTAATGGTTGTTGTGGATTTTTCGGGCTCTTTGGCCGTGTTCTGAAGGTTGTTCTTCCTAATGTTTTACCAGTCTCTGTGGCTGGCATCTTCAGAGGACATGTCCTATGAAGATGCCGGCCACAGAGACTGGCGAAACGTTAGGAAGAACAACCTTCAGAACATGGCCAAAGAGCCCGAAAAATCCACAACAACCATTAAGTCTACTGAAATTTGTGGGGCTTCTTTATGAGTAGATACACACAGGCTTTTTATTGGAATTCCACTACTTCTCCACATACTTCTCAATGATGTATACTATAATAAATAGAAAATGCCCTGTACTGAGAACAATTTGCTATTCACTGTAAATGGAGCATAATCCTTTACCCAGCGGAGGCAATAAGGACTCCTACTGTTGCTAGCACACCTTCACTGCCAGAGCCATCTCTCTCTCTCTCTCCCCCTCTGGATGCTCCCTTCTCAGAATGAGATATTTCCTTCGATATTGCTCCTATCACTTCTTTGTTCCAGGGACCCTTGAATAAAACATAAACAAGACAGGATGGCAGTATGCAACCTCCTTCTCCTGCCCGCCTTCTGACATTTGCCACATCAGCACTATGGCTACTTTCTTCCCTCCTCCTCAGCTGAGGGAGGGGATGGAGATGTTTCTGCTACCTCCCTGGTGGCACGGCAGGCAGAGGTTGTGTGCACATTTGCTGAAGAGCTGCAGAGTTACACTAGCAGATCTCTGACCAGCTCTGGGGACACTTCCCCCAATATTTTCAGTTAGGGTGAAACATGCAGAAGATATTCATCTCTCCTTGCACAACCTACTACTTAGTCAATGGATCATTCCACAAGCAGAACAGAGTAGCAAGATTCCAGCCTAAAAACTTATACAGTATTGGATAAATCCCAGTGATCAAGATCCAACAGAGTACCTCAGTACCCAATGCCAGCAAAATCAGATTTTCTTTCCCTCCTCCCAGTTACCCACTGCAGCCTTCTCTGGCATAAAATTCCTGTTCTACATGGCATCCCAGTCCTCCAGAACAGGATTTCATGATGCACGGAAGAAAAAGGAGATCAGTAACTGTGGCAAAATCAAAAGGATTTCGCAGGTATAGACCACTGGATTCTAGCCAGATGAGATTCTAGCCAATATATGCTATCCAAAGCAACTGAGTTGCACTTTTGTAGCTAAGGCTGTATTTCTATTTAAATGAAGTATCCATATGTGTATCAGTTGTAATCAGGGTTTTTTTTAACAAGGTATATGTTTTTGAGCTATTAAAGAAAACTATCAGGAGAACTGTTTGGATTTTTTTTAAAAAAAAGTTGCTTTACCAGCAGCCCAGATTTGCTGATAGTCCTATTTAATGTTATATTTCTTATCTAAGTTCTAGGATCATACATTCAACACGTAACAGCAGGTACCAAAGGACATTTCACGAGTACTACGTCAGCTGAATTTTTATTTACCTAGTTCCTACCTGCAATAACACAGCATGCCAATGACTCTAATAACTGCAGAGCATGATGTTTAACACAGTACTTTTATTGAAAATGCATTAACAATGAAAACATAAGCCGGTATCCTATTGCTAATCTCAAATGAGTATAGACTCACTGAATCAGCTCCTGGATAATAACTGTATAAATCTCATTGAGTCAATTGATTTACTCTAGTAGGTACTAACAGGATAGTGGCTATAAGAACTTAGGCCAGAGTCCTATTCAATATGATGGACATCTGCACAGATATATGTAAAATTACAAAGCTCTTTCTATGCAACATTACGTATGTCTTAGAGTCCTATACCCACAAAATTCAATATGACGGACATCTGCATAGATATATGTAAAATTACAAATCTCTTTCTATGCAACATTACGTATGTCTTAACTCTTTGAACATGCTACCTACAAATATGAAAATATGGTTTTGTGACAGATATTAATATGGCGGATATGTTGTTGGAATAGGACTCAGTAAACCTGGGTTCAAATCTCTGATCAGACCCACAAAATTCAATATGACGGACATCTGCATAGATATATGTAAAATTACAAATCTCTTTCTATGCAACATTACGTATGTCTTAACTCTTTGAACATGCTACCTACAAATATGAAAATATGGTTTTGTGACAGATATTAATATGGCGGATATGTTGTTGGAATAGGACTCAGTAAACCTGGGTTCAAATCTCTGATCAGCTGTAGAAATGCACAAAGGGGGCAACGGTAAACCAGCTACTGAACATTTCACATACCTTGAAAACCTCATTAGGGCTACCAGAAGAAATGGCCTAACTATATAGCATTATGCAACTGCATCAGTTACACCAACAAAAACTTTGAATTACTAAATAGATTCACCTATTTTTGTGAAAGCTAACTGTTCACTTGACAGTTAAAACTTGAAGACTTTTTAAAAAGAAATTATATAACATTTCCATTTTTGTTGAAATTCATGGTTTCTCAGAATATATTATGTCGAACAGCATCCCCATTGTTTACTAGGGAGGTTACCCGATCAAAGAATGAGATAAAAGTTGTCTGGCAGGATTTGTTCTTGACAAATCCATGTTGGGTTCTAGTTATTACTGCATTGTTTTTAAAATGCTTGCAGAGACTTCCTTTATAATTTGATCTAGAATTTTGCCTGAAGTCTGACTGGTCTGTAGTTCCCACATTCCTCTTTCTGAAGACAGGGACAACATTAGTCCTGCTCCAATCATTTGACACTTCACCTATCGTCCATGATTTCAAGAAAAGGATAATGGTCCTGAAAATTCCTTACCCAGCTCCTAAAATATCCTTGAATGCAGTTCATCCAGCCCTGAAGATTTCAACTCATTCAAAGTGATAAGGTATTCACTGACTATTTGTTTATCAATCTCAAGCCGCAATCCTGTCCCTGCTCCCCACTCATGTACTTCACATTTCCTGGAGATTTAAATACTGTCTTCCAGGAAAAGACCAAGCTAAAGTAGGAACTGGGCACTTCTGCCTTTTTTATTGTCATTCTTTCATCCCCTAATGAGTAGTTGAATATATGATGGATAGAGTGCTGGATAAGATTCAGACCTGGGTTCAAATTACCACTCAGCCACAGAACTGCATTAAAGGGGCAATGGTCAAGTGATCTGGAATATCACCTTGAGCTCACCAAGGAAAATAAGGATATACAGACAGGATACAAAGGAAATAAATAATAAGCCCTGCAGGATTCCATAGACCACAAATCAAGGGAAAGGGAGGTGGTCCCATGCATGACCTCCTAAGGTGCTTATTAACAGGACTCAGTAGAACCGATTCAACACAACAACAATAGCAACACCCTGCTGTCTCTTCCTATGAGAATGCCATGGCTGATAGCACTGAGTCCATATCACAACAAATACAACTGATTCCATTAGCAAAATGCTGCACTTACAGCTAACTTCAAAACATTTGTTCACCTCCCTCTAAAACCCCAGTTTTATCAAGTCCTTCGTGGAAAACCTCTTTGTGTCACCATTACTATGATAGAACAGGCAGAGAAAAAAAAAGTTCTAAGCTGTATTTGATGATGTTCATTATGTGTTTCTCTCCCTCATTACTCTAGCTATCTTTCTGCTTGGTTCATTGTCCCTAGTGAACTGAGATGCTTTATCACTTCTGAAAGTTGTAGACAGCTCATACATTTAAGTATTTGGCTGGAGAGCCCGAGATTGGGAGTTTGATTTTCCACTGTGCCTCCTGCAAGTAGAGCCAGGCCGTGTAACCTTAGGCAAGCTGCACAGTCTCAGGATGCCTCCAGAAGAAGGAATGTCAACTACTTCTGAGTATTTTCTACCTGAAAAATCATGAAAAGGGTCACCATAAGTTAGAATTGACATGATGGCACATTAAGGTGTTTTCCAGTATGCAGAATTCTTACCTTCAGGAGATCACGTTGGGAAAAGAATCTGTGCAGTAGCAGTAACTTTTCACCTGAGATTATTTTGCTTGAGGCTTTCACAGAGGTATTTTATGGATGCCCACTGCTACAGTAATGACCAGCAAAATTTCAACAGCCAGCAACTGACCATTTTATATTATGATTTCAAATGTAAACTGCCATTTATGGAGGCAAGCTGTAGAAGACACACTAGCAACAGCAACAACAAACACACACAAAATCTTGCAGAACATATTGCAAAAAGAAACTAATTATACTTACAAGTAGCGCTGAATGGACAACTGGTGGGTTGGGATGGTCCAAAAATAAAATAAGGCCTGGTAAGCATCCCTGATCCTGGACAATTGCTCTTCTGTTCAGGGGATCAGCTGCCAGATCTCTCAGCTGGTTAACTACAGTTAATGCATCCGGTTCCTCACTCATGGTGGTATTCATTTTTCCTTAACATACATAAGAGTCTGCTAGAAAAGAAATTTTGTTAATACTATAGCATTCCGGAAACTAGATAAACAAAATATACTTCCCATGTTTTCTTATATAGCATCTTAAAAAGGAACAAAAAGACAAAAATAAGCACATGCTGCTCAGACCACCCTAAAAAAAACCCCAAAGTACCTGAAAATACTATCTTTGTTTAAAATGCCATTTTCAAAAAGTAGCTATTCATAACCAGTTTTTTTTTAAAATAGCATTTTTAAAAGTATGGTTGTTCATAGTCATTTTAACCTATTTAAAGCTACTTCTTTGCTTTTGAGACCAAAATGAAGAACACAAAGAAGTGCATTGTGAATCTTAGCTGTATTTCTTCTAGCAACAATGTAACTCTTCCATTCGCTATTCAGTCAAGTACAGAGCGGTCTGCCAAACCCATGGCTACTGCCGCCCTGTAAACCAGCCATGAAAAAAGTGCAGCCCTTCAGCTGTTGTTAGACTGCCACCCCCAGCATCCCTCACCACTAGCACGACTGGGTAGGGCAGCTGAAAGTTGCAGGTCAATGACACAACAGGACTTTGCCAATGATCTGTAAGTCTTAAATATACTGATGCTTGCTAAAGTACTTTAGCCTTCTTCAATACTTAGATACCACAATTATATTACTGAAATAAAACCCGCCTTTTTTATTAGACACCTTTCTAATTTTGTGTTTCAATGTAATTTGTAAAATTTAAAATTCATACTGTTTAAGATAAGAATTCAATCTACATTCAAGTTAAAATAAGGGCAGACATTGAAGTTATGTGAAGAAGTAATGAGGATGCCTATCCCACCTATACTACTCACTCTAACAAATCTAACTGATGAAATATCATCTGGATTTTTTAAAATGCCTCGCTAGACGATGATAATCCGTTCCACTGAAATCGCTGTTTAGCGAAATCATTGTCAAGCGAAAAGCATTTCTCCATTGGAATGCACTGAAACCTGTTTAATGTGTTCCAATGGGGAAGAATTGTCGTTGTCTAGTGAAGATCAGCCATAGGAAAGCCGCTTTGTGAATCGCCAATCAGCTGTTTAAATAGCTGTCTTGCGAAGCTTAGGTCCCGAAAACACCCGTTTTGCGAGTACAGAAGGAGCTGTCAAAATCATTGCCTAGCGAAAATTGGTTTGCGAAGCAGGGACCAAACATTGTCCAGCGAAATTCTCCCATAGGAATCGCTGTTTTGCGAATTGCTATAGCAATCCCAAAAGGTCAATGTCTAGCGAAAAAACTGTCATGCAGGGTAACTGTCTAGTGAGGCATCACTGTACAGAAACATACCATTTCATCCCAAAAATTAACACTCAATAGGAGGCATATACATCTAAGATTCACATACCACAGTACAAGAATTAGCCCTAAGTTTTCAGCACTGTGAAATCTTGTCAGGATGCAAAATGCTACTTTGGATGAAGTCATCTGGCACTGAAAGGGATTTCTGATTTTTTCCTTTGAACAGCATATACCCATACTATTTTATATATAGTTTTTGAAAGTTTCTTAAAAGGCATGTCACTGGGCTCAGGTGAGTCCTGTGCAGTTAAAACAACAGAGATTTCCTTTAATGTATAAATATAGATATGTGGTTCTTGGTATCCTGACCTTAAGAGCTTTAGACAGCATATACATTCTTTTATTCCTGCTGGTCTGAATCAATACCTCGGGCCCCCAGATGTTCTTTGGCTAAAACTCCCAGAAGCCTTTAGTACTAGTTGTACTGGCCAGGATTTCTTGGTGCTGTAGTCCAAGATTATCTGGGAACCCAAAGTTGTGAACTACAGGTCTACATCCTATAAAATCATTTAATTCTTATTCTAATAATTTACCACTTAAACAAGATGAGTTTTAAACAACAGCATGGCATTCAAGTGAAAAGTTCTGAACTGCTGCATACTATCACTTGCAAATTGAAACAAAATACAGAAATAGGTGATCCTCCAAACTTCAAACTAAACACATTAGACTTCAGTGTATATTAAATGTGTTTTTAAATCATTGTGAAGTTAAAAATAAGTACATACAAAAATCTAAATATTGCCTTTTTACATATTCTATGGCAGGAATCCTGTTGCTTAGCGCAGAGGTCCCCAACCCCCAGTCCGCGACCCAGCAGCGATCTGCAGCCTAACCAGGACTGGGCCGTGGACACAGATCTCCTACCCCCCCACGAGCACACCCCCGTGAGTGCTGTCATGTGCATGCACACGAGCATGCAAGAATCCCAATGCTAGCGCGACATGCGCAAGCGTGTTCCACCCCTTGTGAGCGTGCTGTTCGCATGCATGTGAGCACCCCCGCAAGCACAATAAGCACATGCACGTAAGCGAGTTCCGCCCCCCTGTGGGCACGCCACACACACCCCAACCAGTCCACGGTTGGGAAAAAGTTGGGGACCACTGGCTTAGTGTAATAAGTCACACTAGTAGGTCCACTGAATCAGTGGGGAATTGGTGAGTGAACTTCTATGTAAATTTCACTCAGTCAAATGGGCCTATACTATTTGCAACTTACTACCTGAAAGTGAGTTACAACTAGAGTAGGTTTATTTGAATCAACAGAATTTATGGAGTTGACTCACACTCACTAATTAAACAGGACTATTCTAGTGTGATTTACAACACTAAGCATAGGATTTCAGCTTCTGAGTATGCAAATTTTTCTAAAAAGAAAGGTTTTAGCACTTTCATAATGTTGAGAACTAACAACCATAATAGGGATTTTCAAACTATGTTCTCTTATCAAATGTCTTCAATGACAAAATAGTCTTGGCAATAATGTTTTGAAAAACACAGTTCTCCTTTCATTATTAATCTCCTTCTGCACAGCCTTGGCCATGTAATCCAGAAGACACTCTAAATCTACAGGGGCAACAATGATAGATAATGCACTTGTTGCTCACCCTGAATTGACTGTGCATCTTTGAACATGGCCTAGTACCTTCTCAAGGCACTAGACCAGACAAGACAATGTGTAAAGGATCTCAGAATATGGAGCTTGAAGGCAAGCTAAAAATCTAAATTAATTGCAGGACTCTTAGTTATGCTAACTGCTGAATGGTTCCATCAATTAGACCAACCTGTCAAGTCTGTTTTCTTGGTTTGGAATTCTACTACTCTATGGTAAAGTTTGGGAAAATGTATCTGTGACAAGTGACAGTATACAGTATCTGTGACAAGTGACAGTAATGTGATCCCACTTTACGTGGTATCACATTACTGCTTGCTAAGAAATCCTGGAATCTGTAGTTTAGGATACTACTGTATTTAGAAGATGGCTAGACAATTCAGTGGGTACCTGACTTCTGATTCAGAGGTTGAGGTTTGATTTTCCACTGTGTCTCCTGGTAGAAGAACCAGCTCACATAGCCTTAGGCAACCTGCACAGTTTCAGAATGTTTTCGGATAAAGAGAATGGCAAACAACTTATGAGTACTACCCTGTTTCCCCAAAAATAAGACCTAACTTGAAAATAAGCCCTAGTATGATTTTTCAGGATGCTTGTGATAAAAGCCCTACCCCAAAAATAAGCCCCGGTTAAGTGAAACCCACCCTCCATCATTGTGCAGCAACCAGAAGATGATGACATGACTATTTGAATAAATGTAGGCTATTGTACATGAAAAAAAATAGAATATATCCTGAAAATAAGCCCTAATGTGTTTTTGGAACAAAAATTAATATAAGACCCTATCCTATTTTTAGGGAAACACGATATATGCCTAGAAAACTCTGGAAAGGAAAGCCTTAAGGAAGAATTGACTATACAGCATACTTTATTACTAACATACTCAATTTGTTCTATGCACTTTGTTCCAGTGTACTCTTCTCAACTCAGTACAGAATACTAAGTTCATCACCAAATTACAAATCTGAGTATTCTTTAAGATAGAGCCATGGCAACTGTAATTGTAACAAACTGACATCTCTGTGTTGTGCAAATATACCTTTAATGTCCTCTAGATCAGTGGTCCCCAACCTTGGGCCTCCAGTTCTTGGACTTCAACTCCCGGAAACCTCAGCCAGTACAGCTGTGGTGAAGGCTTCTGGGAGTTGCAGTCCAAAAACACCTGAGTAACCCAAGGTTAAGAACCACTGCTCTAGATACATATAACTACAGAAAGCTTAGCAATATGACACTAACCGCCCTGGAAATCTGGATGCCTATTTCCATAAAATCTGCTTCAAAAAGGTATGTCTAAGATCAAACCTAAACATGTATCTTTATATCAAAGAACTCTGTTTGGCTGTATTTGAAGCACCATATAAAAACATTTTGCATTTGTACAAGTTGCTTATTTAGACCTACACAAATATCACTGAGGTTGCTCAATATAGCTTCCGTTGCAAAACAAACTAGAGATGGACAGCTCACAAAGGCCAAAAACACTATGCTAATTCAAACCAATATGCCACAGCCAATTCATTGTTTCTGTGCTTGACTTTACTGTTCATTAAAATCCAACACATAATCCTATACCTAGTTATGCATAAAGACTCCCATTATGTTCAGTGGGGCTTACTCCAATGTAAGTGTCCATAGGACTGCTACTGAAATCTGTCCGTTCTATTAATGTGTACCTGGAAAAATCTAGTGCTTTAAATGAAATATCAAAAACAGGGAAACGACTTTTGTTCCTCCTTTGAAAAACAAAACCAACAGTAACATTATTGTCCCCTAGAGAGGAGCCAATTATTAGCTAGCCAGTTCAACCCCATCTCTGTCCTCCAGAAACAAACGCAACCAAGCACACCAGAACTAAATCCGAAGTGTGTGCATCTGAAATGCTATGAGGTTTTCTCCCAGTTTTTTAAAATACTGTACACTTGTTTGTCCTTTCCAAATGGAAGTTTACTCTTAAATACGATTGCACCTTCACTTGCCAAAGCTTTAAAAAGAGTATGCCTGGCAGCTGTTAAGAAATGTACGCTGCTAGGTCAGCCCCGCTTGTTTCACTGCAGACCCTGAGCTGACTTCGAGTTTGCGACTGAGATGGAGGAGGTTGGGGGGGGGCTATTCACTGACCACCCCCAGCCACACGCTGGCCTCTTCCTGGCCCCCTTCAAGAGAACCCCACCTACCCTCTGCCCCGGTTCAAAGGTCCCCATTACCCGCGTCACTTTCATAGGATGGAGAAGGGGAGGCGCCTTGGCGCTCCCGCCCAGCCGAGGAAGGAATCCTCCTGGTCACGGCTGTCTTCTTTCCTGCTGCCGCCCTTGCACCGAAGGAGACCCGGACGAGCAGAAGCCGCTTTGGACCGCGGAGCGCCCAGGTAGAGGTCAGGTGATTGGGGAGCCGTCTACCCTCGGAGACAACATTCACCATGCAAGGCAAGGCGCTCTGCGCTCTCCAAACACCTCTGCCTTTGCGGGGGTCTGATTGGCTGCCTCCAAGAGCGCCTTCTTTCCATTCACAGCTGACTTTGTTAAGCCGTTCCCTGATTGGCGAGCTCTTGCTCTCTGGCGTCCAGAGGCATTGTGGGTTAGAGTCCAGAGCCTGTGTAAGGTGACTCCGAAGAACTACGAATCCCAGGAGGAAGCTGCTCCTTGAGGGTCCGATAATGCGCATGCGTTTGGGCTGTGCAAGGGGCATTTTTAGGAGAGTAGGGACCTCTGTGCTTCTTTGTTTGGACGCGTGGTCTCATATGTTCAGGGAGGTTTACTGCTCCTGGTTTAAGATTTCGAAAGGACCACGCGGCTATCTCTGTTGTATTTCCACAGCAGTAGTTCTATTTGTCTCAGCATGTTGGCAGAATTAAGGGGGAAGAAGGGACAAAGCGTCAGGGCACTTTAAAGACTAACAGGTTTATTTTTAGAAAAAAACTTACGTGGTTCTTACATAATAAAAATCAAAGGCAAGTAATATCTTCATTAGACTACTGAGAAAATGCTAACTTTCGATTTGTAGTAGTTTTCATCAGGTTGTGAACCAATATATTGTGGATACTGCAAAATAAAAAATAAAAGTCCCAGGTGATATGGTAGATGTGCTACTTTAAAGGTACTGTGTGTAACAGATTGCACGCTACAAACAAGTCAGGAGTATAAATTTCAGATTTTTCCCCAGTGGCTGTTGGATCTTTCTCCCAACTCAACAAAGAGCTGTCCAGGTAATCAGCATTCCCTCTTCCCATTGTCTGTTTTGAAACTCCAGGTTTCTTCTGTGCCAACCCTATCAAAGAATTGGGGGGGGGATCTCTCCACTAGGTGAAACCAATTGCAACCAAGCTAACAGCAGTATCTAATGCCTGGAAGATGATGTTCCCTCTGGTTTTAGTTTTTAAATACAGTATGAGCTTTTGGTAGAAAAAAAAATCATTTTTTCCCAGATACATGGATGAAAAATACCAAGGAGTAGAAGCTATTGAAGGTACCTCACTCCCCGCGAAGAATGTTTATGATTGCAGTGCTCCATGCTTGCTTTGAGCTAAATCCTATCATGTTCAAGAGATTTGAACTGGAGAACAGCGTATTCTATGAGAAATGGCAGTCCATATCCCATTTCATGGAATACCTGTGAAGTTGAAAAAGATGTAAATTGTGGAATAGCAAGTAGAATCTGCAGTTTAATGTTGCAGTATAGATTAGAATAGCAACTTCAAAATAAATCACATTGGGAGCCTTCACAGGCAGAAAGTAGATAAACAAATGTTTTAAATAAATAGTACCATGTTACTACCCTGTTTCCCCGAAAATAAGACGTAACCTGAAAATAAGCCCTAGTATGATTTTTCAGGATGCTTGTAATATAAGCCCTACCCCAAAAATAAACCCCAATTGACACCCCACCCTCCACCATTGTACAGCAACCAGAAGAAAATGACATTACTGTAAGTAAATGTAGATTGTTGTACATGAAAAAAAAAATCCCCTGAAAATAAGCCCTAATGCGTTTTTGGAGCAAAAAAAAAATTAATATAAGACCCTGTCTTATTTTCAGGAAACACAGTGTTGAAAGCAAGCTATTTTGTGGGTATGAAGTTGCTGCCAATCCTATTATTCTGTTTCCCATTGTTGAACTTGCTATATTCACATAGAGTTATAGTATCCTGTACATCTTGCAGTGCTGAGGATCTAGCAATGTGGCATCTCTGAGGAAGCACAATTAATAAATGGTGGAGAGTGAAGGGGCTTTCTTGCCAATATTATGTGCCATGAATTTTCCTTCAAACTTATTGCAGCCCTAATTGAGTTTTGTAAACACATGAGATGTTCAAGAAGTGCTATTCCCAAGTGAGGTTTCATAGCCAAGCCTGGGCATCCCAAATCCTAGTCCAACGTTCTTTCTGCCACATCAGATGACTCTCTGAAACTAATCTGTGATGCAGTAAATTCTAGTCAATGAAAGCTTACTTTTCAGGAATGGAAATGATGTTTCCTTCCAGTGTTGGGCTCCAGTTCTCCCCTTAACTTCACACATGGCCAACAATAGGAGGATGTGAACTGCAACATCTGAAGGACTACCAGTTCTCCAACCCTGGACGCCATAAAATTGTTCACCTCTGCCCCAATAATTGTTTTACATATGTGCTACAGTGAACTTGTATCCTTAGGATAAGGGCTTATTTGAAAATAAATTCTAAACAGAGATTGAACCGTGTTTTAAAATGACACATAGCAGCATGTTGCAAAAAAGACGACCGCCGTAGGGGATGGACGTTCTGTATAAGCAGGAAGCGAAAATGAGTGATTTTCTGATTTTCTCATGTCTACTGTGAATCTAGGCTGTCCAATTGTATTGCATTGCGAACACATCTCCGGCAGATGGCGCGCTGACGTGATTCTCCAGGACTGAGTTGCGGAAAGCCTTTCACCCTTCACACCGTAGACACCCGTCAGATTTCCTGAAGCCACAAAGACGGAGACCGTGATGTCTATCCATTGGGCCATAGATGTGCACGAGCAAACCGGCCGGTCTTTTTCCTGTTCTCTATGATCGGCTAACGACTCTTGGCCTGAAGTCTCGCCTCCGTCGATGGCAGACGCGGATTGGTCGGAATTGTAGCCGGCGCCGCTGGGGGATTGGTTACGCGGCAAGGCTGAGAAGACGGCGAGTAAGGCGAGGGGATGAGCTGGCCGAGTTTCGCGGCTCCTGAGGTGAATGAGAAAAGGGGTCGCTGGGAGGAGGGCGAGCGGGTGGGTTTGAGGAGGGGAAAGGCGGGTCCGTTTTCCTCTCAAGCCTCAGGCGGTCGGTCTTAAAAGTGTAAAGCCTTTCGCAAGGCGGGACTTCGGAGCGGCGTCGGTGGCCGGTTCTAGCCGGGGCGGGAGCTGAGGGAGAACACGAGCCGTCTGGGTTGGGAGGACACGCGGTCTCGGCTCTGGAGGGGCTTCGGGGGCGGCAGCAGCACCTCCGCCTTGGCTCCCACTGAAGGCAGTCGAAGAGAGAGGACCGCGAGGGCTTCGCTTGACCGCGACAGTTGCCCTCGTTTTCCCTTGGGACTATTGGTTTTTCTCGTTTTTTCTGTAACTCGGCCCTGAAGTGACCCTAATTTTGTGAGCATAGTAGAGGCAGTAACAAAATGGGAGCAAAGGTGCTGCTGAGCAGGCAGAATTCGGTTTTGAGTAAGCACTGTGTGCTACAGGCAGCAAGGCTTGATTCCCAGGTAAGGCCTAGATAGAGCTGGGTGTTTCTAAGGTTGCAAATTATGCGCTCCCCTTGAACAGCAGTCATATGCAAGGTCAAAATGTTCCCCTGTTTGACTTCTCTTTGTCTCCTACGCTTGGAGCATTGGCCTGTCTCCGATGAGGCAGCAACTAACCTTGAGCATTTTATTTCCTAACTGCTTCTTCCCTTCTCTCTTGCGTTCTAGTAAACAACAGTGTGAGGCCCATCCTGCTTTTTGGGAGCTAGAGCTGTGGAATCTTACCAGCTTGGTGCAGAATTGCAAATAAAAACAAGTGGAGGGAGCAAAGTGTTTGGGATTGGCTTCTACCTTAGTATTGAGTTCTGGAATTGGTACTATTCCCACATTGGATTGTTTCTGCTTTAACAGCAAATGAAAATGTTGTGTATAGCCATATTAAGCCTTAAGTTAAAGCTTGAACTTGAAAGGTCACAAGAAATCAAGACAATCCTTTCTATGGATTATCAGGGAATATATGTAAGAACAAATAATGTTTTGTGTGCTTGTTTAATAAGGTCACAGCCAGTGTTTTCTAACAGCTATTTAGAGTATTGCTGGTACTGTGGGAAATGTATACATGATCTGAAATACTGTATATATAGCTTACGGTCTTTGAGCAATTACAAGGTCATATGTTGTGTGCCAGCACTTGCATTTTTAGACAGATAGGGTTTTTTAAGGAGACATAAAATGGAACATAACATGTGAGGCGGCGTTTCAGAGAGATAGAGGGTTCCAACATAATTCAGAAAAAAGGAGTTATCTGATACCTTTTAAAACTAACATGTTATCTATTTAGATCAAGTGAGCTGTGTGTTCAGCCAGAGTTCCGAACACTTTGGGGAAGGAACCAAAGTTAAGAGTAGAGCACATGTTTTCCATGCCAAAAGTCCCTAGTTCAGCCTATGATATTGCCACTTAAAAGAACCCCCTCTCTCCTTTTCCTAGTGTCTGTCCCATCTTGTCCAAAGTTTTTTCCCTTATATAAAATTGTTTTTAATGATATTGTTATATTTTGTTGTAAGCCGCCTAGAGTGGTCTTAATTGACTAGATAGGCGGGATATAAATTAAATAAATAAATAATAAATATTAGATCCACTGAGTCAGTTTAGATTATTGGGCTAAATGCAAAGTAATGTGTTTTGATATAAAGCAGCTTCCATTATTCCTATGTAAGGACAGCACTGTCATTTGTATAACATCACTCATGTTGTTTCAACCGTTCATTGAGGCACATATGAAAATGCTGTCCATATTTTTACATCTGTTAGGAAAACTGTGGTTCAAACATGCCTCAGGAGTATTTTAAAGCCTTAACATTTTTGTTGAAATGCCTGTGCTTCCATACAACAGAGTTGCAATGAAGTCAAATTCATGCACGCACAACTTTTGTGTAGCTAATTGTTACCTCCAGCTAGGTCATTTGCTTGACTCAGCCACAGTTGTAAACTCAAAAGACTAATGGAAGTCTAATGGATTCCTTATAAACCCTGGGATATACAGTAGCATGACGAGCAATAGTATATTAGATTACATTATGGTTTGGATATTTTAGATATTACTGCCTGTACTTCTAATACTTATTTAAAAAGCATTTTAAAGGTCTCAATGCTATGAAATTGAAATACATTTTAAAAAATAAGCATTGCTTATAGGCTTACAACTTAATAGAACAAAGAGTGCAAGGGAGTAATTCAGAGTTGTGATACTTAAATCCAAATTGCAGCTATGGGTCTGTGTAAACTTTGATATTTTAATATGCTTGTTGCCTATTATAAAATTGGAAGTTTGTGTTTTGAGCTTTTTTGAGCAGGCCAAGAAATTCAACAGTATTAGTTCTGTTTCTTCGTCATCATAGTAATATCGTGTGGTCATTATTCTTATCTAACAACCCTAAAAGTCCATTATACTAATGGGTAGGTTACCCAAGATTAGCTAGCTTCAATCAAAGCCGAGAGCCATTTTAAAAACCTATAGCAGGGAAACTACTTTAGGTTTTGGAAAGTCAGCATCAGTAATTCCAGAAGGTTTATTATTTCTTATTTGTGGCAAGTGTCCATCTGGGTTCTATAAAGTAGATCCTAATCCATGAAATTTTATAATAAATTTATTAGGTCAGAATCCAGTACTATTCTTCAGCTGGATACAACTGTTTTCACCAGGATTTATAGCCTTGACTTCCTGCTATCTATACACATTAAAAATAAATAAATCTGTGAGCTGGGAAACATTTTAGAGCAGATTCTTGACACTCTGTTGGTCTGCAGGAGGGGGTGGGGAGGGGGAGGAAGTCCGTAATCCATTGGTGTTAAATACCAAACTGGACTGTTGGATCATGACCATAATATTTAGGATGCCATAAGGCTCTTTGTTTGTGTGCACAGGTAGTTTTGTTGGAAGTGGTGGTCTTATGTAAAAATATAAAGCCACAATAGTACCTAGCATGCTTTCTGGTTGCCTTGGTGAGGAGTTGGCCAGAAGTGAGCAATTTGCAAAGAAAACTATATCAATCTGATTCTTTCCCTTTGTGTCCTCAGAATGAGAAATCCTGTGTTGTCGTCTTTAGATTTGAAAGTGGAACAGCACATTGTTTCTTTACTGAGCCGAAGGAGATCTCCCATCTAGCTAGTACTTAGGTATTCCAAATAAAACATGCCTTGCTCTACTGAAACTCCATGTAGCCAAATGCTTCCAGATTAAAAAGAATGCAGATAAAATGATAGTTTGAAATGAATACTGAACTGCTGAAGAACTACAAATGTGTAGCCATGATAGTATCTGTTTTGTCGTTAAGTCGTGTCTGACTGTTCATGACTCCGTGGACTAGAGCATGCCAGGCCCTCCTGTCTTCCACTGCCTGCCAGAGTTGGGTCAAATTCACATTGGTAGCTTCGATGATGCTGTCCAACCATCTCATCCTCTGTTGTCCCCTTCTCCTCTTGCCTTCACACTTTCCCAACATCAGGGTCTTTTCCAGGGAGTCTTCTCTTCTCATGAGATGGCCAAAGTATTGGAGCCTCAGCTTCAGGATCTGTCTAACCATTATCGACTCAAGCTGTGATCCACTAACCCATAAATAGGTCAAAGTTGCACACCCTGCTGTACAGAGAGCACACAGTCTTGTTTTAAAAGAGAATCATTCTGTTAGAAGCTTTGTATGCTTGTGCACCTTGTATTAAAATGGAGGTCGGGGTCACTTCTCACTGTGCATGGTGGCAGGTGGTACAGTACTTTGAGGGGTTGCCATTTGCCTCAAAGCTTGAGCTCCTCACCTTTCTGCCAATTCTGGGTGATATTATGTCCAGTATGCTTACTACTAGTGCTCTTCTGTTTTGAGAATTTAGGAAAATAGAGCATGCATGTTTTCAATGAAGTAAAGGTACTAAATACCTACATTTCATTAAGCTGATTCTAACCTATGACAGTTCTTTCTAGGGTTCTCTAGGTATAGACTACTCAGAAGTAATTTTCTTTTTCCTCCTCCTGGAAGTGGTTCTTCTCCCAGCAGCAAAGTTCCGTCTAATTTTTGTTCCTGCTATGTGTGTATGGAGGGGCAGGGCTTCATCCAAAACAGCTACCTCTGAGCATTGCCTGGAAGGCATATTGGATAATCAAACCAACCTCTGGCTCCACAGTCGTGTACAGGACACAATTAGCTATCCAGCCAGCTAAATGTGACTTTACTAAGAACAAATACAAGTTGTACTCCTGGTGTAATAGTTATTATCACATATAAATTTTTATGACAATTTATCATGACTTGCAAAAGTTGTTCAAAAACATTGTTTACAATTGTTTTCTTGCAGAGTGATTATGGAACATTTGTATCCCAACAAATTGAGGGGGTTTGATTACAAGTTTTTGAAGACTGCATTATTCTAGATGATCAACTGGATTAAACGTCTGTTTAGACTGATGCTTGAACAAGTTGGGGTGACTATGGAATCGGTAAGTGTAATGGTTATAGTGAAACATACCTGGAAGCATTATTGTGTACAAGATGGGCATGGTATGGATATTAAGAATATTACTGGCTGTACCTCAAAGGAGAGAAAAGTGCCTTAGAAGTCTGTGGAATTTAAGTATACATGCCATCCTCTGGATTTTGCCCAATTTGTAATTCTGCCTGTTGTGAAGGAGACTTCAGAGGGAGGTACAACTTTTTCTATATCTCCTTTCAAATATAGGTCACACAGTGTAAGAAGTTTGCACATTTGTCTTACATTTACATGTGATTTTCAAGAAATAATGTTTTCAAAAATGAGACACATAGACTGTTATAAAATACATATATTTTCACTCTTACAGTTGCTTTGGTCAAGTAAGCCTTATGGTCCAAATAGAAGTCTTGTACGGAAAATTGGCACCAATCTTTCTCTGATACAGTGCCCGAGGGTTCAGTTTCAGGTAAGAAGTTTAATGCTTGTTTTGATCTGAAGAAGCTCCTAGTTCACAGTCTGGGTCAGAGTGTACTTTGGCATCTACAAATATAAGGGCTCTGCCACCTGCTCCAAATGATTTTATTCACTGTGAGAACAAGTTTGAGTGATTGGATGACTGTCATTTTGAAGTAAAACTAGGACACACATACGTAAGTGGAGTTTTCTCCATACTTAGAAGATTCCTCAAAGAGAAGTATAAGCATTTGTAAAACTGTATATTTTAAGTACTGGAAAAATTGCCTGAAAAAGACCAGTTTCCAGGATGCCCTAATGCTATTAGAATCTTACAGCAGCTATCCTGGAGAGAGATAAATATGCATGAAATAAATTCTCACTCACAACCACCTATCTTTCACCTCAAGGCCTGAACAACTCTTCAAGGAGCTGTAGACAAACCCCAGTTTCCCTTAGGGCAGCTTGTCAATTTTCCGACAATCAGCTGATCATCAGGACATTGACAAGCATGCTGACTGTAGGAACAGAAATCAGTCTCCCTTCCCACAGCCAGCCTGCTTGACATTGTCCCACTGATCAGTTGTTTGGTGGGATATTGTGTTTTAATGACAAATATTAGCCGATTGTTGCTAAAATGTGGTGCATTGTCGGTTCGTCCATTATTTATTTTGGACTTATTTATTTATTTTTGGACTTATATACCGCCCCATAGCGCTACAAGCACTCTCCGGGCGGTTTACAATTTTAATTATACAGGCTACACATTGCCCCCCCAGCAAGCTGGGTACTCATTTTACCGACCTCGGAAGGATGGAAGGCTGAGTCAACCTTGAGCCGGCTACCTGGGATTTGAACCCCAGGTCGTGAGCACAGTTTTAGCTGCAATACAGCGTTTTAACCACTGCGCTGGTTTGTCCATTAGTCAACTTTGACAAATGACTAATCACAACAAAGCACTATTTTTTTCCTATTCATCCCCATCTGTACTCCTGAATCTGTTATTTCTTTTTCAGAGTAGTATACATCTAGGGGAAAGTAACATGCTTTATGGAAATATTTAGTCAATACATAATTTAAAATATATGGAAATAAATAATGAAATATGTATAAAATATTCAAATATTTGTGGAAATGCTATATATATTCTAGTTTATTCAGTTATAAACTTAATAGTATAATCCTGGGGAGAATTAGAAGGTGATGTTATTAAACATCTATCTGCAGGTCCACACAAGCTTTTCTAATGAATACATGGATCTTTTTAACGTAACATTCATTTTAAAGGGATGAACCAAGTATCACTTGGCTACGAACCTACTCTTAATACTGGACTTTTTTTATATAATATGCATCTGCCATGTTCCAAGAGGTACTGTGTTCCAGTGTTTTCCCTGTTGTAAATGACTGCATTTGTTTTATTACTTTGTGGCACAGTAATTTATGTAAAACACTAAGGTATCTCATTAAAAATGTTGTGAGATACTGCTTTAATACCGTTAGAAGTTGCCTCTGAACGTTGGAAATTATTGAAATATGGCGTTGTCTGCAACCTAAGGAATGCCTTCCATTAGTGTGGTTAACGTTTGACATGTAGATGGAAAAAATACACCTGGATACTTGTCTCTTTTGTATGAGTGGCTGCTTGTCCTTCACAGCATGCCCAAATTCCCATGTCTATTATTGTCTGAACCTTTGGAAGGTTTCATTATTGGTGGCCATGAGACGGAGTGGCGAATTACGCCATTCTAAGAGAAAAATTGGCAGTGCTTGTTTAATCCACTCTTGTGCACAGTCTCATGTCTGTCTATACACCAGTAAGTCACACTCATTTCAATGAGGCTTACTCCCATATTAGGCAGTATAGAAACTGTACAGTCTTAGCTGACTAAAATGTCTGTGTGATTCAGCTCTGGGTTCAGAAGGTTCAAAACAAAGGATAAGGTTGAAGAGTCAGTATATACTTTTTAATGCTTCTGAAGATAATCTTATAATTGTCTGCTTTAGTCACATAGGATGTTTCAATTGAGGGTTGCAGGGAAGCCACAGCATAACAGCCACTTCTATTTACAATTTAAGTCTCTTTGGCCAGAGTACTGCTGGTTATTTATCCAGGCATAAGTGTAATTAATGGTATAAATCACAGCAATAAATTGCTGCTAGCTGATAAGTCACCACTTACGTTTTGTATTGTGCACCCAGCTGGAGACAGAGTACAAATGACAATTCAGTCACACACATCTGTGTGCCACTGTGATTTGTGTCATAGTAGTTACACCGGTGCAAATAATCGAGTTCTGGCCTGGGGTAACTGGGACAAAAATAGTGATACAGAGTATGAAGATGTGTTAACACATAAGAGAATGGTAGCTGAATTTCTCCATTCAAAAGACAAATGAGTGCATTTGAAATATAATCTGTTCCAAGTTAAGGTATGCATTTTGATGTTTTGGTTTTTTTGAAATTAACAGTTGTTTAACATAAAAATTGAGCATGCTATTTAGAATCCAAATTCTGTAATAAAAGTGGTATTCTGATTAATTCTACATTATTTGCAAAATGTGGATGCCACTGTACATCCAAAAATCTGGTTTTGCATGCACTTGTTCTTAAGCACCAACTTGTTCTTAACTCATAGCACTCTCTGGAGTTTTGTAGATTTTAAATTGAATTGCTTTTATGAGCAGTGAAATGCAGGCATTTCTGAAGCAACTGTATTAATTAATGTGATTTACAATAAAAGTCATTCTGAACTCAATCTGAAGGTGGAAGAGAAGATTACATTAGTCACGAATTCAGTGTTTCCATTGTACTCTTATGACAGTAGCACTTTATTGAAATCTTGTGGGCTGCAACAATTATTTCTGAGGACAAAATGCATTCAGAAATGAAGTCATAATTTAAAAAGTTTAATTGATAATGAATAAATTGAGCAGCTTGAAAATATATTGTATGTTTCATTAAAATCATGTTCTAGCATATTGCCAGGATTAAAAAATCTTGAGTTTCTTCTTGTTGCTCTCCCAGCATTAGTTTTTACTCACTATATAATGCTTCTGTTCTGTTTCCATTTCTGCTTCAGTAGGCTGTTAAGATGCCTGGATATTTGTGATGAGTATGGACAAAGCAGGGTTGGTTAAACAAAGGGAAGAAAAGAACAGAATGCCAAGGAATTATCCCCCCTCACCACTAACATTCATAGCTGCTTTCTCAATAGCATGTCTCCACAAATTCACTTACTGTAGGTAATTCCTCTGGTGAGTGAATTTGTTACTCTAGTGATTCAGGATGTTCAGTAACAAGCGATTGGCACTGTGGTAAAGTTTCTTTCACACTGAGCTTGTTAGAAAGCTCAGTGTGACATGAAATCTTTCCTCTTTTGCAGAGGAGCAGAGATGCAACTTTTTCTGTGCTTGGGAATAGGGAGAAGCAGAAAAAGGAATTCCCTTTAGTCTGATCCAAAGATCTACAGGACCATGCATACCATGTGCAAAGCACTGAAAATGGAATAGGAAAGGGCAAGCGGAAAAAGTATACAAAGCAAAGTGTGCTGCTTGTATACCGCCTCATAGCACTCTCTGGGCAGTTTACAAGTTAATTATTCTACATGCTACATATTCCTTCCTCCCCATCCCCCGCGTGAGCTGGGTACTCATTTTACCAACTTTGGAAGGCTAGAAGGCTGAATCAACCTTGAGCCAGCTATCAGGGATTGAACCCTGGGTCGTGAGCACAGTTTTGGCTTCAGTATACAGTGAACCTTTACTTACAAACTTAATTCATCCCTAGCCCCAGCCCTACCCCCCCAGCTGCAAAAACCTAGCCCTACCCCCAACCCTGTAAAGTACAGTAAATACAGTACTGAGGGTGGGTGCCCCCGTGGTAGGTGGCCTGGGTGGCTCCCTCTCGTTTTGGGGGTTGGCCCTGGCCCCAACGAGTGGGGTCCGCAGTTTGGGCGTACACCTGGACCCGTCGCTTACTATGGAAACGCAGGTGGCGTCGGTTGTCCGCTCCACCTTTTTCCATCTTTGGCGGATTGCTCGGCTGCGGCCCAACCTCGACAGGGGGGTGCTCACTACCTTGGTGCATGCGCTCGTAATCTCAAGATTAGTCTACTGCAACACGCTCTATGTGGGGCTGCCTTTGAGGTTGTTGCGGAAACTTCAGATGGTGCAGAATGCAGCGGCCAGACTCCTCACTGGAGTGAGAAAGCACCATCACATTTCTCCTGTTCTGGCTAAATTGCATTGGCTGCCCATCTGTTTCCACATAGACTTCAAAGTGTTGATGCTTGCTTATAAGGCCCTAAACGGTTTGAGGCCTCGATACCTGGCGGAACGCCGGCTCCCACCAAGATCTACCTGTACCACCCGCGCGAGCCAGGAGGTGAGGCTGAGGAGCCTGATGCCGAGGGAGGCCCGGAGGGAAAAGACTCGAAACCGGGCCTTCTCGGCGGTGGCTCCTTGCCTGTGGAATAATCTCCCTCCTGAGATTCGCGTGGCCCCTACGCTGGGTACATTTAAAATCCAACTGAAAACATGACTTTACATTCAGGCCTTCCCTCCTGACAGTATGTAACTTTTTCTCGTCTATCTATCATTTTTTATATCTTTTGAAATGTTTTTATTAATGATGTCAATGGATTTATATTTTAATTTCATTTGTTGCTGTTAGCCGCCCAGAGTGGTAGAATATACCAGATAGGCGGGGTATAAATCAAATAAATAAATAATAAATCACCCAGAACAGGCAGTCTCTCTGTTTAAAAAAAAGAAAGTACGGTAAAAAAAACTAAAAAATTTTCAAAAATTTAAAAAAGCCCTAAAAATACAGTCCATACAGTACAGTACCAGGCGGTACCAGGCAATACCAGGTGCTGTAGTACCATGCAGTACTCTACAGTACCAGGCAATGCCAGGTAGTCTGAAGACTGTCTCCCTAGCCACTCTCTAACCACTTGGATGAGTGATGTTGCAGACAAGCACCCTCTTTGCTGGCCAACGGTCAACTGAA